TCCTTCAACAATTTTGAATTGGCAAGTCCAGCACCGCCTTGAGATAATTTACGGTGGAAAATTATATCCAATCAAATGCACTGCATTTGGTTTTATACTCCATGATTGGTCGATTCGCACTGATTGTTGATGGAGGCACTCTACGAGAGACAGCGACACCACCCGCCTGTGTCGGCATGTCCTGACCTCGCTCGCGTCCGCACGGCCAACGCAGATTTCCATCTCTATGTGGGTTCGGCGGATGCAGCCAAGAACTCGTTATTGATGCAAGAGCGTGGAATTGGCGCAGTGCTTGCGCTTGGCACCAAAGCTCTGTCGACTGCGACGACAATCGTCATCGACATCCTGGACATGGAAGAAGCGTTCCTGATGCAGCACTTCGACCAATGCTTCAGCTTTTTGAAACTTCAAGAGCAACACCACACCCCAACGTTGGTGCATTGTGCGTATGGCCAGTCTCGTAGTGCGGCCATTTGCGTTGCTTTTCTCATGCACCACGAGCACCTGTCCCTCCGGGACAGCTACGACCGCGTTCAAGCGGCCCGACCGTGCATCTACATCAACTCTGGTTTCCTGGCGCAGTTGGAGTTGTTTGAGGCCATGCAATGCCACCTTGTCGGAACATCTTCGGCACACGCAACGGTGTGTTGACATTGGTTTCGGCGGTGATCCTGACGTTCGGCTGCAGTACCGATTGCGATATGCTTACGAACGCCGGCTTCGAGGTGGGAGTGTGGCCATGGTGTCACAGCTTGCAGTGGACGTCACCTCTGGCGCAAAGAAAATCTATTGTAAAAAGTGCAATTTGCACTTGGGAAGTCACGACAATATCGTACGAAACCCCGACGTGTGCTTGCATTGACTTGAGGGCAGGTTCATCACAACCACAAAAATCTTAACCACGCGTCCAGTTGCGGCGTGCTGCACGTTGAACCCCTCGCCTGGATGCAACTGGAGGTAGTTCCTCGTACTCACAGCACCGCCTTACGCAGAACCTCGTAGCCTGACGCGGGAAAGCTCACGTGTCCTCGGTGCAACTCCAAAGTCGGCCAGCATAGCTGGATGGGAGTCAAGTGCGACATGATAGCCTTGGCGGCCACTCGAACTCATCATGCCTGTCCATGCGTAGGTGCGTTCAAGGCACATTCAGTCAGCCAGCTATCCAGCTCTCGACTGCAAAGGTCGAATCTCGATGACCATCAAGACAGCATGACCAATACTCCATGTGATATTGACGTTCCTGGGAAAATGATAACGATCATGGGGACAACGACTCGACGGCGTGCACATCGTCGTCTGTGAACTGGTACATGCACGACAGATCCACCTAGCCTCCACGGTGACCTTTCTTGGCACCAGACGAGAACGACCGACCTTGTCGTCCGAAAACTTGACGCCTTCTTGAGCGAGGAGTGTTCGCTTGTCGTTCAAATCGTTGCATGCGGGGTCCGTGGATCCTACAGCTTGACTTCCATCATGTCCGAGACGTCGTATACAAACCTCGAAACCCATGAAGGCTCCTGGTAGCCGAAACGACGCGATGACAAGGGACTTGTGGGGCAAATGGATTTCGCTAGAACACCACTGACTCGATCAGCCGACAATTCTTGACTAACAACACCACGAAGCAATACTCGTAGCGCTTGGCCAACACCTCGAGGTCCAGAATGGATGGCCTTGGCCACCGCTCCGTACGTGGCAACTTTTCCCGCTGGAATCTACAAACTTCCTTCACAATTTGCGTGCTCAGATAATCGACGACTTACGCGGCTGATGAGCTTGTACACCTTGATGTCTAGAATACATTGTGAGTTCGATAGAGCGAAGCGTGCGACCATGCTCCGTGACTGGCATTCCTCGCCATGTAACCTTCTTGGCCGCGCCTGCTGCCTTCTTCATGCTTGATTTCTTGGTGGGCATTGTCGAAATGGCCACCAGCGAGA